TCTCTCTCTCTCTCTCTCTCTCTCTCTCTCTCTCTCTATGTCGACAAAGTCTGTGCGCAAACCGTTGTCTCGCGAGCACTGATACTATGATATAGTACTGAGTGTGTGGTGAATGGCATCGATGGCATCGCCAACACTAGACTCCCCACCAAAATAGAGGCTCAGCTATCAGTTCATAGACTTTCCCTCTCTTTGCCACACAAATGGCGTTAAATGTATTCATTTATTGGGTTTTGTTTACTTCAATCTCAATATTGAATCCATCGGTAGTGAAGAGTTCTTCCAATGAGACCGACATCACGATTGTTGTCGAAGACGACGACTTAAGACCTGATTATGACTTGCGATCATTAATTCATGCGAAGAACATAAGGTTTGCCTTAAGCTCTCTCTCTCTCTCTCTCTCTCTCTCTCCCAATCACTACAATTAGCTAATCGTGTGAATACATGCTAAAAGTGAACACACCTTCACTTTATTGAGACTTTCAATCATTCTTAATGTCAAGCAATGCTTTAATTGTAGGACTATTTAAAAAATACTCGTTTAATACGAAAACTGAACGTTAATTTTGGCATTCAATTGCTATTTCATGGGCTGAATGTACTTTGAATGACACAGTAATGGGAATAACGACCAATACATTGATAAAAGTGATTCAATTGTTATATGAAATGCAACTTCGCTTAGGAGGAGAAGTGCATTAAGACGAGTGTTGTATAGATATAGTGCTGCATATATTGTGCATAATATAAGTGCATAAATGCATCCATAGATTAACATAACTGTTTGATTGTCTGCAAGAATTACTTTCGATGCGTTATATCACGCGATTGATGAACAATATTGAGAGGCTTGGGCTCCAAGTGTTGGGTGTTTTGTAAGATTAATGAATACCTTAATGTATTCACGAATCTCAATATAACTGTCGGCGAAATACAGAAATTTTGCGGTCAAAATCTCAATACACAATACACTGTGTGTTATATGTATTTTTTGGTTAGAAATGAATGGTTTGAATAGTGAACCTCATTGTTGGGTATATTTTTGTGGCACACAATTAGCATAACATTTGAAACACATTTTCTAACTGAATATTTGCAAATTAGATACACTATTGTATAATGAATTCAAGTCATTATTATGCAAACGTTTCGTTTTTTGAGACTAATGCCAACTCTTCTAATCTGATTTGAGATTAAAAATAGGGGAGAATTACGCAAACAATTAATCCTCCAAAAACTCTTTGCTAATTCATGACAATTCAATCCCTTAAGCCTTTGAATATGTAAATAATGTTAAATATTTAATGATTTAATTTATTGCGAGAATTGGTATAACAATAATAAACACGATTTAACGATTAGAGCAAAGATTTTTTGACTAACATTTTGTATTATTTTTATATCGATAGCCTTCCGAGCGTTTCGGATGAGAAGCCTATGGATAGCGGCGATGGCTTCTGTCAGGTATACCGAGGGGTGACGTGTTCTCAGTTCATCCAAAACCGGACGATTTACGTGCGATCGATGACCAGTCAGGGCTTTATGGAGGAGAAGTTGGCCAAAGCCTTCACAGTGATCGCCACTTCGCACGACGTCTCCCTTCAGTGCCATCGCTATGCCATCTCTTCCTTATGTTTCTTCGCCTTTCCCTTATGTGATGAGAATATGGCTGAACCCACGCCCAGACAGGTATGCAATCAACACATTATTTCGCTTAATGAAACAAAGAATTGCTTTAATTTGCAATTAGTATAAATTACATGGTAATTTTATTATCAATATTAAACAAAAAAAAGCACAATTCATTAAGAGATTTAATTTAAAATTAAAATTACACTAAAATATGGCTCAATCGGACATTAGTTTCATAAATAAATTAAATAACTTAACGGAATATGATATACAGTATGTCTCACGAGTCAGTATTAGATACATGTTATAAATACAACTGGGATTAAGAAAAGGCATTTATTTTATTAGTTTATTCATTATTCATTTTGATATGAAATATACACACAATATATTGTATATGAGGTTTAAATTATTTTTATCGTTAGTTTATTTGAATTATAAGTAAGAATTTTTGTGTATATAATAAACAGATAAACGAAACTATTATTTAATGTTATGTTTGTGTAAATGTTTTCAATTGATAACTCACTCGAAATGAAAGAAATGCTTAATGTTTAGACATAAATATTTAATATTCACTTCAGATGTGGAGTCGGACCGGAGTTTACCAGAAATACCTGCACAACTGTTAGCTCCTGTTTTTGCCTCAAAATTAAATATTTATATTAAATACTAAATCAAATGACATTCTCTATGAGATTCTATTAACTCGAGGATAACTTATGATTTCTCCCATAACTCTGTGCATTAAATGTGGGCTTAATATAACATATTATATAATAGGATATTAAAATTGCTAAGAATATCACTCCATTCTCTTTGGCCATCATTTGTTAGAAAAGTTTTTCATTTGACTTAAAGTGTAATTCCATGTCAAACAAGAGATAAGTGCATAATATTTCCGTACATAACATGTAAGTTGTGTTTCAAATATGAGTTGCGAAGCAAATTGACTTCAGAAATAAAAGGCATCGAAATATGCTATAAGTTTTCATACGATATTCGGAGACAAGTATATCATTGTTAAAGGAAAGACATTCAGACCATCATTAAGAGCACAACTGAGCGCTGGTATGTGTCGGACCCACACATATGCCCCCCATAGACAGGCATTGATGCGAATCCATAGTAACGCCGTTTAAATTCAATACTGTTTTAAAGCGTTTACACAAATAGTGAATCTTTTTTGAACACTTAAATAGAGTTCCCGTTGTGTTTGGACTCCACTAATGAAACCCGTCTTTTGACGCAATTATTTCTCATATATTTCTTAAAGATTTCTTCGATAAGAAGATTACAGTTTAGACCCTAAACTCAAATGAATTTAAATTACTATAATATAATAGATTCTGTGCGTTAAGAGTAACGTAAGACAATATGTTGTGATTTTTGATTTAATATGATTTATATTTTAAAAGCCATAAAGAGCTCATAAATTAGAAGAAATATTTACATAAACTTCTTGTTTGTCTGTTTTGTTTCACTTTTGGTTGAAATGTTGTGTTTGTTTAAAGCAAAAAAATTGGATTTATTTATTTTCCTTATAAGTACTGTATTTTGAATAAACGGATCTCTAATTCAATTCTATTAACATAAATGAATTGCAATTCAATATACAATTGTTTTTTCAAACAATTCAAAGCATAGGGGAGTAGAAAATTAAATGTGAAGTTTTTTTGCGATCAATGAAAGTGTTTTGCATTTTATAGAGACTTCAAAACGTATATACTTTATATAAGTTGTTTGACTTAAACTCAATTATCTTCTTCAAAACACTTAAATATTAAGAGTAAAGCATTGCATAAATTGTAAGCACTGGCAGACAGTGAACAGTAATGTGCGAAATGAAATCTAAAAGTATATTTGATTTGTAAATCACTGACAGGTTTGTCGCGACGAATGCGAAGTACTCGAGAGCAACATATGTAGGATTGAGTACACAATCGCCAAAAAGCATCCACTTATCGGTCAGAAACACATTTTGCCCGCTTGTGAAGAGTTGCCTCCCATCGGGTCCAAAGAGAGCGAGAATTGTGTCCGATTAGGCATTCCTAATACGGTTCAAGTATCGCACGGTATGTCATCTCAATTTTGATCACTACATTAGTTAATGCTTTAAATCTGTTTCCGATTCTTCGCAAACAAATATTGACTGAAAGCGCATAGAATTTGAAGTAATTTCTATATAATTTGAATTTGCAGACCACACGTGCTTTACAGAGATCGGTGAGGGCTATAGAGGGACGGCATCGCGCACTGTATCCGGTCTGCAGTGCGGGTATTGGAGTCATCAGATATTCTTGCGAACCGCCGATTACCCGGAGCTGACGGGCGGACACAACTATTGCCGAAATCCGGGTAATATGGAGGCGAAGCCCTGGTGTTTCGTTCAGGACTCAGAACTTAGGAAAGAGTACTGCGATATTCCTGAATGTTGTAAGTATTCTTCACTCAATTATTCTTCATTTGGTGTCACAAATCTATGACAGAATATTATGTGTTGTTATCCATTGTTATGGAATTTTGTTGTCAATTCCGGGACCCAATCATGAATATAACCCAATAGTGTGTTAAGGCTTTAGCGGAGAGAGAGAATAGCGAACAGAAAAAGCAAATATTGTCTGACAAATGGATGATATATTGGTTTGTGATTCATATTATTATTATATATTTTTCTTTCATTAGTCGATCAATACTTCATGTGGTATTATATCGCACCCACTGCCGGAGCGCTGGCATTATTTCTGCTGCTACTATGCATTTGCTGTATTCGGCGCCGCAATCGCAATAAGCCCTCCTCACCGGTCGTGTCGCTCAACGGCACCAAAACGGCCCGATCTCTGGCCAGTCCTGCGTTCAGCACAAACAGCTCGCGAAGGGGTCGCGGAAACAACATATTAGAGATGAATGCATTGCTTCCGCACAGCAGACAACCGACCAATCGTTTGACAGAATATTCCATGTCTTCGATCCGTTTCGTACAAGAGTTAGGCGAAGGAGCGTTCGGTAAAGTGTATAGAGGAGAGCTCGTCATGACTGCCGGCGCTATCATTCCGATCGCCGTAAAGACACTGAAGGAAAACGCGACCACAAAAACACAGCAAGACTTTAGACGCGAAGCGGAGCTCATGTCAGACCTCCAGCACCCGAACATTGTTTGCCTGTTAGGCGTTTGCATACGAGAGGAACCGATGTCTATGTTGTTTGAATACATGTCCAAAGGAGACCTTCACGAGTATCTCATCTGTCATTCGCCGCGATCTGACGTCACGAACACCAACGATGACGGCTCGCAACACATCCTCGAAATACAAGACTTCCTTCACATCGCGACCCAAATCGCGGCCGGAATGGAGTATTTGTCGGGACATCACTTCGTTCACAGGGATTTGGCCGCCAGAAACTGTTTGGTCGGCGAACACTTGACGGTCAAGATATCGGACTTTGGACTCTCACGAGATATCTATTCCAGTGATTATTATAGAGTGCAGTCTAAGTCGCTTCTGCCGGTTAGGTATGTATTGACGCCTTTATTAATGCTTTGGTTGTCTCTATAACAGCGATAATTGACTTAAACTCTATGTCTATCATTCAGATGGATGCCTCCCGAGAGTTGTCTGTACGGGAAATTCACGACAGAGTCCGACTGCTGGTCGTTTGGTGTTGTCCTCTGGGAGATCTTCAGTTACGGTCTGCAGCCGTACTATGGATTCACAAACACCGATGTCATAGATATGATACGTTCGCGACAACTGCTCGCCTGTCCAGAGGACTGTCCGCCGCATATCTATTCGCTAATGATTGAGTGCTGGCATGAGATACCCAACAAAAGGCCGTCGTTTCACGAGTTGCACACTCGGCTCCGGTCGTGGCAAGCGGTCCACCAAAGGACGATGACTCTGCACTCAACCAACAGCAGCCACAACAGCGGACACAGCACTCACTCCGGCGCCAAACACGGCAACGGATTCATCAATAATCGCACAAACAATTCAGCGCAACCTAACAATCACTTTCATTCATACCATCCGCTGTCAACGCCGGTGCCGATACCGACGCCACCATTAAGTCATTTAACTAATCACAACACACATCACCACCAAATCCATCACTTTAACAGTCCGGCTGTCAATCCGAATCTGAGGAATGGGTTCGCAAACCCGGGCCCACCCATGCATAACCATAACTCGCACGTCAATAGTGTGTTTCATTATCACGAAGCAAACAATTTTCACAATTCTTCGAGTTCTTCGAGTCGTCCCAACACTCCTAACAATAGAAAAATGCCGATCGGAGGCAACGCTAACTCTGCCATACATTCCTAAACTTGTTGTTTATAATTAAATTATTTACAAAAGAAATATTACATAATATATGATATAATTATAAGAATCTCTATTAGGATTATAAGAGTTGAAGCAATTTTGATACATAAAAATTATACAACAGAGAAAAACACTAATTAACTTAAAGTTTGACATTATTTAAATGCAGTTAACGATCAACTGATGTAAATGATAGGCGTCTATACGAATAATGCATCAGTTGTTGACATCAACTTAAATATTGTTAATATTTGGTTGAATGGGATGTTTGTGACAGAATATTCTACTCTCAGCCAAACAGATCCCATATATGACACGGCGGGGATCGGGTGCACAGGTTTTATATTCAAATTTTAATAACTATTTCATTCATTGAAACAACACAAAGGAATTTTATATTAATTTATTAAGAGATCTGTTTTATATAGAATTTTTTAAAGAATAATTAGTGGAGTTTTTTTTAATTTAAAAAGTTTATATCGTCTTTATATTATAGCTCAACAAAGATTTGTATTTATAATAATATTAATATAAATGGTTTTGTCATAACTTTATAACAAAAAAATGTGTAAATAATGTAACAATTTATTACATAATAACTCGTTTTAAATGTTTTTCTTTACAAAAAACAAACAGTCGTTCAATGAATTTAATTGATATTAATTTATACCATAATTAGTAATATATTTTGTCATTTTTACCAAAACAGTCACCAATCAGTAGTGTATAGGCAATGACTGCAGTCCAGTGAACAGTGTCTGTCAATCTATCAAATATCATGAAATGAGCTAATATTTGTATACAGAATATTCTGTATATCACTGCCCGGCTATGAATTGAACTAAATTAAGACACTAATCAAACTTATGTATTGAAACTTTCTGGACATTGCATTATAGACACAGTTGTTGCCGGACGTACTGAATGCTGGAAATGACATTTTCGTTGTTTTTTAAATTAATTTTTAAAAATATTTTTGTTCATTAAATCATTTTATATTGAAGTAAATGTGTTTTTAGGCGAAATATTGTAAATATTATATGCAAATTATATAATATAAACGTATAATGAGTAAAACGCTAGCAAATGAATCAATTCATACACTGCTAGTCATAATCATATAACTTGTAAATTGAGGCCAAAGTTAACCATTTTATTACCATTTAATGCCATTTCTATTAATTCTATTTAATAATACTATTATTAATAATACCAGTGTTTTGAATATGATTTAATCAAAAAAACAGAATCAATTTGTAATTAAAATTAATTAAATGTTTGTTTAATATTTTATATTAACAAATAAATTGGATTTTTAAATATAATAACTGAATATTCTTTTCTATACATTATTTATTTTTAAAAAAACTCATCACTTATATTACAATAAAGATCAACAAATCATATATAAATTTATTTTTAAAAAATTATTATTTCAATTATGAAATTTATAGTAAAATATTTATAAATAATTAATAAGTGAATAATAATAATATATAACACAGTAATCCTTGTTATCGATAGTGTTTGGTGTGAAGTGATTGCTAACCCTAACAGCCGTTATTGAGCGCCTTCTGAGACGTGGTTTGGGGCGCAGACAACAGGTCTGAGTACTGATGCAATACTTCCCGAAGCGATCGATTCACTTGAATAGAGTTGGATGTCGTGCAGTCCACTATAGGCGGGTACAACCGAATCAATAGATCCCATACGTGCGGCTCAACGCTACCCAACGGTGCCTTCTTTAGAGACACTATGAGAGTCGCCAACGCTTTCAATACAAACGATATTTCCGCCATTCGATGCCTTTATTCAAATAAAGTTATATTTTTAGTATATTTTAGAGTAAATACAAATTAATTATAATGTATTGTAATTAATGTATACCGCGGTAGAGGACACGGACACAACCGTTCGTCTTCAACATATTTAATAACCACTTCATTGAAACGTTGAAGTATTGAAGTGACGGCCAATTTGTTAACAATTCCAATGCTGTGATCGGGAGTTAAATCGTTGCCCGAAGACATGAAAAGCCCGGGATTTCCCTTCGGGGCTAAAAACGAGAACTGAAGTAATGTCTCAAAACAGGTTCGCGCGAACTCTTCTCGCAATTTTCTCGTCGATTCTGTATCTTTCAAATAAGTTTCAAATAAAATATAACTATTTTGTCAAATATAACAGTTTAAGTGGAAATGTAACGAACCGACGGGTGAGCTGTTAGTCGCCGAGTGAATGGATCCCTTATTCAGTAGTGACACCACTTGTAATACAAACTCCTGCGGAATCTGAGCTGCGAATGGCATAATTGAGTCGCGAATGAGTTCAACAATTTTCACGTCAAGTGATTCGTCAAATTGTTGTTCTTCTAATGTTTGAGTGGACGCGGGCTTTGAGATCGGGAATAGGAAACCGTCAAAACAAAGCGCCAAATCGGCCCAAATTCTGTTAAAGTCAGACGCTATGCAAATAGAGAATCGGTTAGTCTTTATAACATCAATACTTAAAGACTCGTTAGAAAATAATTATTAACTTACGATTGTTTCTAGCGATTGGAAGTCCGATCTGTAGTGCAGTTAACAGTGTATTGACTGACAGTTTCCAAGTGCTCTGCGATGGACACGAATACTTCAAACATAATGATATCTTCAGCGTCTGTTGGATATAACAATTCAATTATTATTTTGATAAATACGTTATCAAACATCGCAAAAACAAACCTTAATTATTGAGTGAAGAATATTAGACTTAATAATTATTGTTTCATTCGCTGTCTTCTGATAGAGAGCCATAGCATTCTTGAGCGCTCTCTCACCCAATGAAGTATAAGTATTTGTATTGAGTGCCGACACATCTCCCTATGTATACAAATTATAACCGATTAATATCTAATTATATAAATATAAAATGTTAATAATATTACAGCAATCAATTGGGGAGTAATCTGTGTTTTGGCAAACGTTGGTAAATGTGGCGGAACTAAATTTTAAATTAGACATTTAATTTATAAATAATAATATAATTTATAAAGTAAAATATTTACTAATATTGACGGCATAACAAGAAAGCGCTAAATATTGGTTAAAAATCGATGGCAACAGAGGATGGAGGTCTGGATCAATTAGAATCTCTTTTTGCAGCGTTTCCACAACAAAGAGTGTGTTTTCTTGTAATGGTGTCAACGGTTCGGCCATCGATAGGGACAACATATACGGCAAACTCGCGTCCGAATTCATTAGCGGCACAGATATTGTGTTTTGTAATACAAGAGACAATTTGTTGAAATCACTGAAAATTCAACAAAAAAAAGTTAAATACAGAATAAAATAGTTATTATAATTATATCAAACCTTTCAGAGAATTTATGTTTTATATGAATGAATAAATAGGGAAATATCTGAATGAGTGAAGTCAAGAATGCCTGCGACGGCACGTAAGGACTCGTATCTAAATTTTTATTAACAAAATCCGATGTGTCTTTCAATTGAGTTGTCGTAAATCCAATGTGGTACCTAATATCAATTATACAACGATATTTAAATTTGAATAAACATAATTGCATTGCAATAATATTACCATGAATTCCAAGCGGCGTCCCATAGGGTTTGGTTCTCATTATTGCCACATTTAGTCAAACATAGTATCTCTTGAAAGCATTTGAGTGCTGAGAGCGAGACCTCACTGTTCTGGTTGAGAGCCGACGACTCAATGAATTTAAGCAATAGAGTCCATGTCTTGTAGAAATCGTCGGTATTGACTAACAAATCCAATTTGAGACTTAATATACGTGAGACACCCGACAGCACCAATACTTGAGTTTCTGACCTATCATTCAAAATACATTTTATTAAATAAAACAAAATTTTCTACGAAATAAAACAAACCATTGTTTTTGTGCTGTATTTCTAGAGTGATGTATGATTATAGTGGAACTCGATTTGGTATCAGTAATCTTATCACTAGTGGCCACTTCGGACAACATTTTCACCCGATCTAACAATGGGAACAATACATCCCAAAGAACTGATTTCCATGTCTTCGCTTCTAATATAGATCCGTGAGTGGAAAGTGTGGCGAATAAAGTCTGGGCAGAACTCTTTCGAACAGACGCTCGCGAATCAATACATAAATCACTAAATCAACAACAAATAAATCAAATGTCAGTAAATCATCATTTCCTACACTATATAATCAGATGATTACCCCAAACGCCTAAACAAAGCCATCCATAAGGAGTCGAAATCGTTTAAATCACTGGTAATACTATTTTTGTCGGTTTGGCTCAACTCCTGTTTACTAGCGTTTTGTTCAAAAATACTTTTAATTTTGTTTTGGTTTGAATGGAGAAAGTCTGCGATATTCCAGAGTAAACCAATAGCAGTGAGCGATGCGTTCAACTCCTGTATTTGGGAACCAAATTTGGCGGTTGTGTCCACACATAGTATTAGACAATTGGATGGAATTAATGCTAAAAAGTCGGCGTTAATTAATTGAAGACATTGAAACGACAGACGAATCAGATTCTCGTTTTGGGTTTCGTTGATCGCGCCGACGATCTCAAAGATCTGTGTCCAGCCGTACGTCAAGACATCGCCATTGGATTGCAATATCTGGAGAACACAATCCAATTGCTTCTGTCGTATATCGGCGTGACTTATATATGACAACTCCTGAAGCGGAGCCAAAAACATAAATTGTTTGACTGTAGCCGTCGTCTCGCGATTATTATCGGCTTCTGTTTCAGACTTGCTTTCCGTTTGAGTTTGAGATAGAGTTGACTTCACTATAAATATTTAGTTTGTATTTTAATATTTAAGACTTGAAAAATACAATTATGTCTCAATAGTTACCAAGATTACAAAGAGCGTCGACACCCCATTCGCGCATTTTTATGTGTGGATGACTACAAACTATTGCAAATATAATTCAAATTAATATTAAAATTAATACTTCAAAAGTTTCTTTTCCAATCAAAACCTTCTAAGAAATGGGATGTCACTTGTTTCCAAACAATATCTATTCGGTTTAGATTAACGATCGCTGTTTCCAAGAGCTTTGCGACCGCAAACTGATCCAACAAATACACACTAATTATATCGCGTTTCAAATGCCATTGCATTTCAATACTAACCAAAGACGGTTCCCGATTGTTGTACGCGATATCCATCGACTCCTGAGACAGTTTAACCAAAGCGTTGACTAAATGTAATAGCGATTCGGTTTTTAGATGCCTTTAAATTGAATTCAAAAATTAGTAATAATAACAGTTGAATGAAAAACATAAACACAAAGATTAAGGCATTTGTAAATTGTAATTAAGTATTGTTTATGGAGTGTTAATGTGAGTGATTTTGAGCCCCAATTAAAAGCGTTCAGCACTTACTGCGAACTTTGAAAGACCTGAGACAACAGATCGCCTACAGAAGCATAGCTGACAGAGCGGAAGGGATTGGATAAGGTTTAAAGACAATTAACAGTTATTAATCAATAGCCTTTGAAACACATTTAGACTTTACATCCGTTTCCATGCAAATCAATACTCACTGCGAAGACTCAAACAAACGCGAGAGCATTGTTGACAGCATTGGCAGATCAGACATCGCGGCCGTTGTGATCAACGCATTGCTTGAGGCGCCGCCCTCTGTGCCCGACCGACCGATCTTAAGGGAACCGTTCGAACCATTGGTCGGCTTTAAACCCAATATCCAGACTAAATGTTGTAATGTTGTTAGGATTATGTGCCACGACTTCTCACTCAACACCGATCCGTCACTATTCGCTACGTTTAGGATTGCTATACATTCATATAAATCACAAAATTAGTCACAAAAAACACAAATATTATACTCATTACACATACCATTCATACACTGAAGGTTTTTCGATGTGAGCTTTATATCAGAAATAATAAAATATTAAAATTCAAAATCCATAACAAAGAGTGCGATGACTGACCAGAACTGGTCCCTGTTGTACATTCTGTGGTAGTGATGGCGTGGGTAATGGGGTTCCGACGGCGATCACCTGTTGTCGGGTTTCGCTGGACTCGTTTGTACCCAAATAAGAGGCACCGGAAGTGTTTTGTGAGTTTTGTTGTGAAATCAAATTTGTTATATTTATTGAATCGCTTTTATCTAAACTCGTTTTACGATTACTCTTAGACTTTGAATCGGTTTCGCTTTTTTGACTTAAGTTTAGGACCGAAAGACTGTAATTCGGAGGTAAAGATGACTTGCAAATGGATGTAAGCGTTGCATCCCTGGCCTCATCCAACTCATAGATACCATAGAGACTCGCTGTTCAATACAATCAGAAACAATATGTTAAGTGTTTATTAAAATAAAAATACAATAGAAATATACAAATTTACCTAATTTTTTCATTTTATTTAATATCAATTCTGTGACCGACTCGTCAGTCGAGGCATCGAGTAATAGAGAAAATGCACCCAAAATTCCGCAACAACTAAGAGATTGTATTATTAAACACATTAAAGAGTTATAATTAATTTGAATCTTAATTGTATGAAAACTAACGATGCGTTGAGAAGATTCTCATGAAGAAGACGAGTCTCTTCGGTGAGTGTATTAACGGTTTCGATGCGTTCGTTGGTGTCGTTTACATTGTTTTTCAAATCAGATTCAATAACGTTTGTGAGACTTTCGACTATTTCTAAAACACAGGCAAACGCTGAGGAGAGTCCGTGTCCTTCGGGAGCGGACGGCGCCTCCAATTTGTCCAATTGCTCGATAAAGAAAGGCTTGTATTTAATTTTGGTTGTATTGAAAAGTAGCGGAATATAAACTCCGCGCAAAAGGAAGGCCGGCGTCGGGCTATTAGTATTGGACATTGAATTCAACGATGAATTAATGGACGAATTAGAAGATGTGACTACACTTGGACTCGAGTTGTGATTATTGTTGACAATGGATGCAATCAGGCTTTGAGTGGTGGACGAGTCCACAAACAGGAACTGTGACTTTATGTATATACACAACGCGTTCACTATATCTCGGAATATCTTTGAACTGTGCGGCTGTTGTTCAAGACAAGACAAACAATAATTATAACTAGAAATTCAAATGCATTTAAAACTAAATATTTCTTACTTTCATATCGTAGAAACGACACAAACAGCTAATAAGATTTGGTTGTATCATACGATATAAGGCCTCCAATGCCATCGAACCTAATTGTGAAACAAATTAATTTTAGTATAAAGCAAAGTATATACGAGTATAAAGTGTACATACGCTGCCAATTAGGTTTGTCGGGCTCTAAGGATTTGATTAAAAGTGACAAAAATATCTCGCTTTCCGTTATCTTAAAATAGAGAAATAAATTGATGAATATGTCCAAAAAACACCAAAAATTAATACATACAAGCATTGTATAGAACTTTTGAATCAAAACCGATACAATTCTCAATAGTCGTACAGTTATGGGCCAAAAGGGTTTGTCTGTAGTTTGCATAGCATTTGTTTGCAAATTCAACGTTTGCGTCCGGAGTTTAGTGTTTGGAGAGAATAACTTGATAACTAACTGACACACTCTCTCCTTCAATAGAAAACTGAATTCTTCGTGCTTTTGGTGACCAAATGATTATACATTAATTCAATTATAAAGCAATTTATATGCAAACCTTATAGAAGACATCGGGAAATGAAGAAAATATCAGTTCTAACAGTTCTAAACCAAAAGTTCGGGTCATTTCTGTGAGTCCTGTCAACCAAAAGGGTTGTTCCGCATTAACCAATTGTACCAAATCCTAACACAATTCATAAAACGCTTACAAAACCAATATTCAAAATATCAATCAATAATTTCAATACTTGGAAAAAGAAGAAGGCGTCCGAAGCGGCCGCACGTAAAGAGATTGGGATATATTTGCCGGACTTTATGTCATCAAACTTAATGTCGTGCACTTTGTTTGCTGTCAAACATTGAAAACATTGTTAATATCATAAAAACATTGCTAAGTGTGTGTGACTAACATTCGGGTGGAATTTGGTCTTCGGTTTGGACTCTTTCGAAAACAGCCGAAACTAACTGTCGAATAGTAGCCGAAGCCGTGTTATTAGTGGTCGAGTTCTTCGTAAAGTGGAGTCGGAAGCAAAGAGACAGCGCTTTCGCCAGACTCTCGCTCTTAACTAAACTATTTGTTGTAATCAATAAAGTGATGGTTTGCAGCAGTTTTAGCTCTTCGACACCGCTTTCCATCAAATTCCACAAACAGTTGAGGAGATTATTGGCCGCAGTCTTCACAACAAGTGGAAGAAAACATCAGTCAAACAAATGCAAAGACAAATCACACGCGTTTGCGGTTTACCTGAGAGACGGCCTCATAGATGATGAGCTTCTGGATGGCGTTGAGTGAGATTTGAACCATTTTAGCCACTTTCGTGTCGCAGCCCATGAAGAATGGTTCCATGATTTCGGCGCTTTCCGTCATTAGAGCGCTCTTCAGATTCGGCGGTCGTTTGGAAACACTTCTGATTTTAACGATTCCCGACTCCGAGGCCTACGACGAGAGACAACAACAAAAATAATACCATTGCGTCAATACATCCAATGTGTGTCTCCAATACATCGGATCAAAACAAATACCTCTTTGACGGGCGAGTGTTTCTTCTTGGCCTCAGCGGCCAACTGGTGGTAATGCTGTTCAATACCCTCCAGAAGTTTGCGATCGTTTCCACTCAATTCAGACATTGTTTTCTCTGTTGACGACAACTATCTGTGGACTGGATTTCCGGTGCAATTAAAAGTGACAATGAGTTTGACGTTTGTTTGTTTGGCGTCTCTCTTGTATTTGATCCGCAAATATCACTGCAACGGCTCGACAGACACCGACCACAAGAAGACTGACAGATATAACGGCGAGAGAAACCCAACACTGGTTTCAGACACTAATTGTGGACACAATTAACTCATGCATTGATTCACACAAATTGTGTTTACATTTTGTTTCTGTGGACTCGTATTGAAAACCCATTGAACCCAATGTTAAACACAACTCAAGTGACACATCATGTCATTCACGAAAACATATGATTCAATCAATCATTCATTTCGCACAATAAGTACGTCCACTAAATGTCGGCCAAAACTTACAGTCGACTCGAGTTTTGAGAAGTTTTTTAGAACTTTTTATTCTGTCAGTCATTACGGGCTTTGAGTCTCGCGTTTGGATTCGTATTGTGTTTTGTATTTAATGTATTGTTTAAAGAGTGTCTCCACTCGAGAGGTGTGTTCACTACAGGTGTGTATCGATTGCCTCACAAATGAACGTTTGGTTTCAATGACTGATTGCATGTATTGTTTGCAACACTTTAACCATTCATTCATACGTTTGCCAGTCGTTCACAACTAATCCCATATACAAGGGATAAATCATTTGTCAGATATAGCGAGACATACACTGCTCACTGGTTGCAGACCATCGGATCCATGGCTAACAATAGGATACTGACTGACAATAAGGGACCGACTCTGTCGACGGCCGGCGATCCCAGAGTCGACTTCTTTTATCATGTGATCGAAGACACAGAGAAGGAGAGGACAGTCAGTCTGTTGAAGAAGTCTTGGAAATGCCATCCGTTGGACACATTGAAACTGACGGCTCATATGAGAGACTGTCGTAATGGCAAAGGCATCAAAAATCACTACCAAATGTGTACTCAATATTTCTTTGAACATCACTTCAAGACTCTGATGGCAAATATGGATCAATTGGTGGCATTTGGCTATTGGAAGGATCCGCTCGTTATACTCATGACTTTACTCTTTGACTACATTCCCGATCATTTGTCCAAAGATGACGGATTCAAATTCAATCGCAATCGGCCACAAAAAGAGGCGAAGAAGAATGTATTACCAAAATACGATCGATTAGTTTTAAGAGGTCTTCGCAAACAAAGACAAAAAGCGAAGAAAGAGATGAAATCCAACGCAAAGAAGGCTAAGATTGAGGGAATGGATTGTGACTCTCAGGCGATGGAAACGATGGAATCAGAAGACATTGAGATGACTCAAGATGTGTATCAAACGGTTCCGACCAGATTTGAGGCCTTACAACTTAGTCGCAAAGAATTCTTTCAAAACCGTTACAAAAGTGACCTAAAATATCGCAGACTCTATGATAAAGTGGTCGATATGTTTGCCAATCAATTGGTCACAGATTTAGAAAAGATGTCAAAAAATGTGAAATCAATCTCATTGGTGGGGAAGTGGGCGCCCAGTAGTGGCCATCACTTCGACAAATACCTGTCTATTTGTCAACCGATAGCCAAACAGATGTTGGGTCTAATGAAAAGAAATGAACGGATCAGTGATCCCAAAGTTGTGACCAATTTCTACATTAAAGAGGTCTGTACTCCACTTCGAAGATACCTTCTTATACCCGAAGTTTTTATGGCGTCCAATAAGTGGATGGATATTGACTACAATCGCGTCGCCTCTAAGTGTATGCAAAAGAATAAATCGGTTTTCATTAAACACGACAAACAAAGGTTTGAAGAGTTCTTGGCCTCAAAGACTACTATATCTGGCGCTGTCTTAAAACCGGTGGAACTGGTGGACAGAGCGGAACAATTAATGCATTGTGACTCCGATAAGCTTGAGATTGAAGTTCTCGAAAAGCAATGGCTCTCACTTTGCGAAGACATTAAGAAAAAGGGTATGTTTTGCATGAAATGGTATTTAATACAACATTTTTCTAACGTATAATCTTTGTCTTAGGCGGTGGTCTATTGGACAACGCTATAGCTGTGTGTGATGTGAGCGGTTCCATGTATGGCACGCCAATGAGTGCGGCGGTCGGGCTAACGATTCTAACCATGTATTTATCACAAGAGCCCTGGAATCAAATGTGTATAACGTTTCACGAGAATCCGACATTTCATATATTGGATCCGACGCTCAGTTTGATTGAGAAAATCCGGTCCATAAAGCAAATAGATTGGAGTGAAACCACTTATTTGAATCGTGTCTTTGACCTGATTCTGAAGAAAGCTGTCGAACAGCGCCTCCGAAACGATCAGTTGCCGAAAGTGTTGCTCGTCTTCTCTGACATGGCGTTTGGCGTCGCCTTTCCCGACACCACTCTAACCAACTTCGAGGCCGCGAGAGTACAGTTTGAGGCCAAAGGCTATACTCTGCCTCCCATTGTGTTTTGGAATCTGAGGGCTACGGCTAACACACCCGTTGACGTCAATGATATGGGAGTCGCACTTCTCTCCGGATATTCCGGACAACTATTGTCACTAATTTTGAAGACCGAAGACTTTAAGACAATGACTCCCTATTCGATGATGCGGTCGGCTATTGATAACAAACGTTATTCTGAGCTTAAAATAATTGATTGATCGCTGCTTTGAATGCTTTGGTTTCCACAAAAAAATTCAATATACGATATTTACTAAATATTGAAATAATTATATTTTATGTTGTATTTGACGCACAATTAAGTTACAGATGATTTATATCTTTATTTATTTTGATTTAGTAATAATTATTTTTGGTTTATTATCAATGAAATTAATTAAATTATATCTACTATATACTGTATATATATTAAATTACTTTACCAATAAATTCGTTATGAATTATATATAAAAATAGTCTAAGAAATTGTTAAATTTATAATTCTATTAATTATATTGATATTACATTATAATCAAAATGCAAAATAAAGAGAATTCTAATGATTATATTTGTATCGTGTAATGAATAATGAGATACTTTTGAGTGTAGTTAACTGTTAACAGTAATGTAAAGTAATGTATAGCAGTACTGTGTGTTTGCATTAAGTTTTAATACAAATCGAATAAATTACAGAATATATGGAGAGGAGTGTTACATAACTTATTACATACATTACTGTTACATGTTATCTAACATAACATTATGTTATATAACTCTCTGAGCGAATCGATTGCCCAACGAATAAGCGTTTGGTTTGCAATCAATGAGTGATTGCAAGAATTGTTTGCAACACTTTAACCATTCATTCATACGTTTGCCACTCGTTTGTCGCAAACACTTCTCTATTAAAACTTTGTAAAAATCAAGACATAGTTCAGAACCATTAGATCCATGGCTCACAACAGGATACTAACTGAGAACAAAGCGCACACTTATGGGACGGCCGGCGATCCAAGAGTTGACTTCTTCTTCCATGTGATCGAAGACACAGAGAAGGAGAGGACAGTCAGTCTGTTGAAGAAGTCTTGGAAATGCCATCCGTTGGACACATTGAAACTGACGGCATATTTGAGAGACTGTCGTAATGGCAAAGGCATCAAAAATCACTACCAAATGTGTACTCAATTCTTATTTGAACATCACTTCGAGACTCTGATGGCAAATATGGATCAATTGGTGGCATTTGGCTATTGGAAGGATCCGCTCGTTATACTCATGACTTTGCTTTTCAATGAAATTCCCGACTATTTGGCCAAAGATGACGGACACAAACGCCGACACAATTCACAACCCCAGAAAAAGAATGTGTTTCCAAAATACGATCGATTGGTTTTGGGAGGTCTTCGCAAACAAAGACAAAAAGCAAAGAAAGAGATAAAATCTAATACAAAGAAGGCTACGATTGAGGCGACAAAGAGTGACAATCAAGTGATAGAAGCGATGGAATTGGACGACACTGTGGTTCCCGGCATCGAAGTCCATCTGATTGGAAGTGTGTACCAAACGGTTCCGAACAGAGCTGAAGCCTTACAAATCAATCGCAAAGAATTTGCTCAAAACCATTACATAAATGATGAAAAATATCGCAAACTCTATGACAAAGTGGTCGATATGTTTGCCAATCAATTGGTCACAGATTTGGAAAAGATGTCAAAAGATGTAAAATCGTTATCATTGGTGGGGAAGTGGGCGCCCAGTTGTGGCCATCACTTCGACAAATATCTGTTTATTTGTCAACCGATAGCCAAACAGATGTTGAGTCTAATGAAAAGGGATGAACTGATCGGTGATCCAAAACTTGTGAAGGATTTCTACATTAAAGAGGTCTGTACTCCACTTCGAAGATACCTTCTGATACCCGAAGTTTTTATGGCGTCCAATAAGTGGATGGATATTGACTACAATCGCGTCGCCTCTAAGTGTATGCAAAAGAATAAATCGGTTTTCATTAAACACGACAAACAGAGGTTTGAAGAGTTCTTGGCCTCAAAGACTACTATATCTGGTGCTGTCCTAAAACCCGTGGAAATGGTAGAAAGAGGAGAAAAGTATATATTTCAAACCATCGCTGAAAGTGAAGATCAGGATTTCAAGCTTGAGATGGAAGTTCTTGAGAAACAATGGCTTTCACTTTGCGAAGACATTAAGAAAAAGGGTATGTTTTATATTAATTATTTTCCATAAAACATTTATCATATCTAACGTATGATCTCTATCTATGTCTTAGGCGGTGGTCTATTGGACAACGCTATAGCGGTGTGTGATGTGAGCGGTTCTATGAATGGGACGCCTATGAACGCAGCCATTGGCCTCACGATTCTAACCATGTATTTATCACAAGAGCCCTGGAATTCAATGTGTATTACGTTTGACGAGAATCCGACCTTTCATATCGTGGACCCGAAACTCACTTTCATTGAGAAACTGCGGGTAATGTCGACGAATAGCATGGCGTGGGGCGGAACTACTAATTTGAATCGAGTCTTTGACTTGATTTTGCGCAAAGCTATTGAACAGCGTCTCCGAAACAATCAGTTGCCAAAAGTACTCATTGTTTTTACAGACATGGAGTTTAACAGTGCTTTTCCGGGAACTACTTTAACCAACTTCGAGGCCGCGAAGAAACAGTTTGAGGCCAAAGGCTATACTTTGCCTCCCATTGTATTCTGGAATCTCAGGGCTTCGGCGTCGACACCCGTTGACTGCAATGAAATGGGAGCCGCACTCCTCTCCGGATATTCCGGACAACTATTGTCACTAATTTTAAAGACCGAAGATTTGGAGAAAATAACCCCCTATTCGATGATGAGGTCGGCTATTGATGACAAACGTTATTCTGGACTTAAAATAGTCGACTAATCAATGATTTGTTTTTTCTTCTTCTGCATAAAAAATTCAATATTAATACTGAAATAATTATAGTTATGTTTCGAAGAATTTATATGTTTATAATTTATTTATCCGTTATATTTGATTTAATAATAATTAATTATTCTTGATTTGTTATCTACACTGTATATATTGTATTACTTTTACATTCTTCTGATATTATAACATATTGGTTTCTAAAATACCGTACGTTATGAATAATTGTATAAACTTTATATTAATAATAATACCATAAAAATGAATTCAAATAATTGTTAAATCATTGATTTGTTAATAAAATTGATATTAAATTGTAAATAAAATAGAAAGTAGAGAATTTTAAAGCAATTACTGTATATTTTTATCTTCTAATAAATAATGAGTATGATTTAAGTGCAATTACATTAAAATACCATTATATGAATGAATAAAATGACCAAGGTACTTTACATCAACGGCATTATACTCAAATCATTTGAGTCAAATGTTTGCCTTTATTTGTAAGAGTTTGTTTGAATTTGGGTCTAGTTTTCCCTTACTTTTCATTCTTTTGCAAATGTTTTGATAATAATTATAAAAACTCAAGAATTATATTCAAGAATTTGTTATCGATTTGTTTAATCATAGGTTTAACACTAGTGACTAGTATATACTTGCAATGTAGTCAATGTGTATTACTAGTACAGTATTAGTCAGTGATTTTATTCACTCTATGAAACTTTCGAAGTTTTTCATCAAAATGTTTGGTCATTAACAGTGATCACAAATTTTTAAAAGTTTTTACATATCATTATAATTGGGTTCAAAGGAATCTAAATTAAATGTTTATAACAGTAAATTTAATATACTGAGAGTTTGTATGACATTTACTGTGTGTTTGCATAAAGTTTAAGGAAGTTTCGACTTTCAAGATTCAAATCTAATAAAATTCAAAAGAGTTTAAAGAAATCTTTAAAGAGTTGTGTCGAGAAAAGTGTCAACTCTATGTGTAAATCAATTTTCAAACGAATAAGCGTTTAGTTAGCAGTAAATGCATGTATTGTTAGCAACACTTAAAACATTAATTCATTCATTCGTTTGCCACTCTTTGTCGCAAACACTACTCCTTTAAAGACTATAGATATTAAGTGATCGCATCTATTGGATCCATGGCTCACTACATGACACTAACTGAGAACAAAGCGCCCACTTATGGGACGTCCGGCGATCCCAGAGTTGACTTCTTCTTCCATGTGATCGAAGACACAGAGAAGGAGAGGACAGTCCGTCTGTTGAAGGAGTCGTGGGATCGCTATCCGAAGGACACATTGAAACTGACGGCTCATACGAGAGACTGTCGTAATGGCAAAGGCATTAAAAATCATTACCAAATGTGTGTTCAATTCCTATTTGAACATCACTTCGAGACTCTGATGGCAAATATGGATCAATTGGTGGCATTTGGCTATTGGAAGGATCCGCTCGTTATACTCATGACTTTACTCTTTGACTACATTCCCGACTATTTGGCCAAAGATGACGGACACAAACGCGGACACAATTCTCAACGCCGGAAGAAGAATGAGTTTCCAAAATACGATCGATTGGTTTTGAGAGGTCTTCGTAAACAGAGACAAAAAGCGAAGAAAGAGATGAAATCTAACGCAAAGAAGGCTAGGATTGAGACGACAGAGAGTGACAGTCAAGCGATGGAATTGGAAGATATTTTACTGACTGAAGAGGTATATCAAACGGTTCCGACTAGAGCCGAAGCCTTACAACTCAGTCGCAACGAATTCTTTCAAAACCACTACAAAAATGACGAGAAATTCCGCAGACTTTACGACAAAGTGGTCGATATGTTTGCCAATCAATTGGTCACAGACTTAGAAAAGATGTCAAAAAATGTGAAATCAATCTCATTGGTGGGAAAGTGGGCGCCCAGTAGTGGCCATCACTTCGACAAATACCTGTCTATTTGTCAACCGATAGCCAAACAGATGTTGGGTTTAATGAAAAGAAATGAACGGATCGGTGATCCCAAAGTTGTGACCAATTTCTACATTAAAGAGGTCTGTACTCCACTTCGCAGATACCTTCTGATACCCGAAGTGTTTATGGCGTCCAATAAGTGGATGGATATCGACTACAATCGCGTCGCCTCTAAGTGTATGCAAAAGAATAAATCGGTTTTCATTAAACACGACAAACAAAGGTTTGAAGAGTTCTTGGCCTCAAAGACTACCATATCTGGGGCTGTCCTCAAACCCGTGGAACTGGTAGAAAGAGGCGACAAATTAACCCATTCTGGAGCTGATAAGCTCGAGATTGAAGTTCTCGAAAAACAATGGCTCTCACTTTGCGAAGATATTAAGAAAAAGGGTATGTTTTATATTTATTGTATTTCATAAAACATTTATCTAACGTATATTATCTCTGTCTATGTCTATGTCTCAGGCGGTGGTCTATTGGACAACGCTATAGCGGTGTGTGATGTGAGCGGTTCTATGGCTGGAACGCCTATGAGCGCGGCCATCGGTCTCACGATTCTAACTATGTATTTATCACAAGAGCCCTGGAATTCAATGTGTATTACATTTCACGAGAACCCGAAATTTCATATATTGGACCCGAAACTCACTTTCATTGAGAAACTTTCATCGACGAAAAGGATGTCGTGGGGCGGAACCACTCGTTTGAATCTAGTATTTGACTTGATTTTGGGCAAAGCTGTTGAACAGCGTCTTCGAAACAATCAGTTGCCAAAAGTATTGATAGTGTTCACAGACATGGAGTTTAACGTGGCTTTTCAGGGCAATAATCTAACCAACTTCGAGGCCGCGAAGAAACAGTTTGAGGATGAAGGGTATAAATTGCCGCCAATTGTATTCTGGAATCTTCGGGCCTCGGAGTCCACACCCGTCAAGATTAACGATATGGGAGTCGCTCTTCTCTCCGGATATTCCGGACAACAATTGTCACTAATCTTAAAGACTAAAGAATTGGAGAAAATGACTCCTTATTCGATGATGCGGTCGGCTATTGATGACAAACGCTATTCAAAGCTTAAAATAATCGACTGATTGATTATTTATTTGTTTTCTTTATATCTAAATAATTAATATATTAATATTTACTGAATATTGAAATTTGTTAATTTATTTGACGCAATATTATGTTTTAGAGAATTTCTATTTTTTTCTATAACTAACTTATATTTCTTTACTATAACTTATATTTTTGCTTTGATATTATTAATATCATTAATTATAAATAACATATTTGTCTACAAATTACTATTGAATTAAATTGATAATATCAATTATATTATAAATTATAATAAACCCTAATTACCAGTATTACTAAAACAAATTAAACAATTGTTGAATAATTGATTTTGATGATAAATAAAAATTATATTTTGTTTTCATAAATATAGTATTTTCATTTACCTTATATGACCTGATTTTATTTATAGTTTTATTATCGATGGCAATATCGGATGTGTAATTATTATGGTATTTGAATAGTTACTAAATATGATTAAAACAATAAGTGTTGGAAAAAATTATTTTATTTCAATTCAATTAATTTTAAACGGAAGACAAATCAAAACTTAATTAAATTGATTTTATATATAGGAATGTATTATTAATAATACCGAAAAACATGTCAATTATTCAATCAGTAATTGTGAAAACAATTTGTGGTAAATATTTACACAAATTTGCAAACAAAATAGTTAAGGGAAAATCGTTTACATTAATTGAATAAATAATTAATTTGTTTTCAATCGACAATCAAATGATCGGATCTTTTTTTAAAAATGGTATTTTTCTCATAAAATATTCAATCATTGGTACAAAAAAGTGTGTAATATTTTATGACTATAATTATTGTTAAGCAAAATATTTCATTTGATTGTATCATTTCATTGTATTTAAGAATAAATATGATTTTTAATTACAATTGTATTGTTTTCATAAATTGAAGGCAAATAATTATAATAATTTAAAATACTGTTAAAATTAAAAATAAAAAACTATCAAAAAAATTAAATTCTATGAAAATCGAGAATTAATTCTCAAAATGAGATTAAATTGTGAACAAAAAAACGAAGGAAAAAATCCAAAAGAATTTTAAACAATTATAATTATATTTAGTGGTGAATAATGAGATTCATTTGAATTGATGTGTAATTATCTGTAAAATTGATAACATATTTGATTTGATGTAATATATAATCGAAAATGACATTTAAATTTGCGAACAATTGATTAAACTATTTACAAAACCTATGCCTAAGACTCAATGAGTGGTAATCAAAGATTAGTCACTTGTTTATCATTCAATTCTTGGTTGAGTCTAACGGACTCCCAGTGCAAGATATAGCCGTCGTTTTCGTAGATGTGTTTGAGTTGAGTACTGCTGTTGGAGTTGTTGAGTGAGCCTAAGATGTGGAGCTGTGACTGATTGGTCTGTTGGCTGAGCGCACTGAGAGCGGCGTCGTGTCTGGACTGAGTGCCGGCACAACAGGCCAGACATGAGAACCTTTCCACTAGTTTGGCAATGAGTTCGTCGATTGGTTCCAATGAGTGCATCCAAAGCGGCAAAAAATTCCAGTTCTGCAACTTTAGGGGCAAAAGACTTCGTCTCTTGTGTTGTATTATGTTTATCACAATCACTATAAAGCAGACCATAAGAACCGGTCCGCCAATGCCTACCAGAGCCCACGTGCCGGTCATTGACAGCGCGAACACAGTTAATGGCAATAAGAAGAACATCGATATTAAGTAGAAGACACTAAACCACCGGTATTTGGCTGTGATGTTGCCTAACATACGGGCCAACCCTATTGGCCATCGCATCCATGGGATCGGATAGAAGATGAGAATTCCCGATATATTGAAGAATAGGTGACAGAATGCAAGTTGTAATGTATCCTTCAAACTGCTAGAGTCCGCCGCCAGAGCCGCCAAAATGCCTATCATTTGCCAATTAATTAAACAATTTGTTAAAACAATAGTCATATATCAATATCATTACGAAAAGCACACATTTTGCTTAAAGTGTGACTTTTAAAAATATATATTTAAATGAATGCAAAATGTGTAGACCTGTAGTAGTGGTGCCAATATTAGATCCGAGAGTCAAGGGATACATCCTTTCTAAAGATATCACTCCAATGCCAGCCAATGGGGTGAGCGCTGAAGTGAATATTGAACTACTTTGCACCAAAATAGTCATTATACATCCGACAAGTATTGCCAAATAGTTAACTAATATTGAATACGGGAACTGATAGTCTCTATTCATTGTCTTCTTTATGACGACTGCTATCTGTCCCCTAAAATCACAGCACAAGTTATTTTTAGTGTTTTTTATTTCACAACAGATTTGATTTCGTTGCGAGAAAAATATGAATTAAATTTACTTAAGCATAGAGTGAAGCAATTTAACCATTAAGACAAGACAACCGCAGAGAACCACCAGTGAAAGGGCCAGTAATACAACGCCGGCGATAGAGTCGCTCAGATTTAGCGCACAAAACAACGAATTGCCTGCAAATTGTTATACAATTCATTTAGTTTTATTCCTATTATATATAATTCATTAATCATTCATTTGTATCGATATCTAAATATAAACTAATGTAAAATTAATACAAATTGTTTTACGTAGAACTAAAAAATTTGATTAAAATATTCATTGATTAATGGTATTAAAGACAGACCTTTTTTGATGAGCGTTTGCGTGACATTACTCGAGTCGTGACCACTAGCTATTTGGTCCAATACTTTCTTATCCAGC